CACTCCCGTCCGGCCCGCGCTGGGGTTGGGTGGCTCAGAGGCTGCGTGAGCAGAAAACGCTGCTGCACGGACCCTGGCATCCGAACAGCTCGTTTCTATTTTGAATTTGGCCCTAGGAAATGTTTTGTCAGCGAGCAGGATTGCATCTGGGACAGGACTGCTCCCCGCAGTCCCCAGGTGGGAGTTGCACCAGCGATGATTTTGGCTCTCACTTGACAAGCCGCATATTACGAAGCGGTAACTGCAGCGAGAGATCTAACACATGAATACAACATGCTCCGTCTAACCCCATCAGTGCTATGAGGTAAAGAGACTCATATTGTCTTCCAGGAGAAGAAACATCTTCCCTGGTAATTCGCCCGGCAGACAAGAGCTGCCGCCAGTCCTGCGCCGGGCGGCTCGGCCGCGCTGGCGTCCGTCACCGCGTGTTAATTAACGGCTTCAGCGAAGCAGCGGCGCGAGCTGCCTACCTGTGCCGCTGCACCAGGGAGATAAAAATAACCCCCCGAAAGAACCCTTAATCCTGGGAAATACCATTCCCCGTGGGTGTGGGATCTGTCCTTACGCCCCGCGCCCAGCCCAGGCCGGGGCGAGGCTGCAGCAGACGGAGGGGCAGTGTCACGGCGCGCGGTCCTGCCCCGGGGACGCTGCTCCGTTCCCTCCCTCACCCCCGACTGACCCCAGTTTTCCTCCTCGAGAAACTCCAGAGCGGAGCGAGCGCTGTGGCTCGTCTTTCCGGCGCGCCCAGCTCCGTATGTAGGACGCTCACGGATAATTCCCGCAACCAAACCCGAACCAAACCGCGCTGAAGCTCCATCCCACAGTAAGCGACCTTGGCGGTGCCACCAGTCCAGAGCCTTGCCCTTGCCAAAGCCTCTCCAGAGCCAGGAAATCCTTAAAGCCAGGTCTCCGCTCTCCTACTGTTTCATGAAAGGGGGGATTGCAGCGAGACTCCAAACTAAGGGGATCAGCAGCTGCCCCGGCCCCCCCCGGGTACACCCCCCGACAAGGGGCTGGCGCCAGTGCTGAGGGTTTTGGGGAGCTCCGGCGCTGCTGCCCCTCTCCTGTGGCCGGTGTGGGGTGTGCTGGGAGGGAGCGGGGGGTACCCCAACTTGTGACGCTGGCGCTGCACAGGCGGGGTGGTCAGAGGCGGCTGCAGCACCTGATTGTCACGGAAATAAGTAGAAATGATTGAAATTGTGGTCTTTGGCGGCTGCTCCTTCTTGTGGGGGTCAGACCAAGCTGGGGGGGGAGCTGGGGGCTGGCCTGACCGTCCCCTGAGGAGGGCTGGCTCGGGGCTCAGGACGGGGTCCGCAGCCTGGGGGGGTCTGCCCTCGGGGTCTCCACAAAAAGCCTGAAATAAGAATATTGGGTGATGGGAACTGGCTTTGGCAGATACGGTGGATTGTCCGTGGGGTTTTCTCATGTCCCAGGGAGACATTTCTGGAGGGAAAAGAATGAAATTTTGAGTTTGAGGATGGCTCTGCTCTCCAGGGAGAGAAGTGCTCCAAACAATCACCCCGAGAATGTGATGGGCAAGCAGGAAAAAGGCTGGAGCGGTACACGGCAGTAACAGATACAGAGGTCCTGCTTCGGATTTAAGGTGCTTATTGTGGGAGGTAGGATGTGCACGGCTTAAAGCTCCCCGGTGAACGGTGTCAGGCAAGGGGGAAGAGCCCTGGCCCGGCCTGGCTGAAGGCAGCGACAGCACGGGCTCGCCCCAGGACCCCGGGGACCCGCAGACCCCCAGGGATGGGCGTTTAAAATGGAACCAGGGCAAAAAAAGTAATCTTGCTCCAGACTTAACTCCCTAATCATTCCTGTCCCTCTGAGCGGCAGGACGATGATTTTGAAGGCTTGTCAGTCCCACAGCCTCTCCTGACAGCACCGTAACGCGCGGACAAGAGCGTCGGCATCCGCCCTCTGCACCGCGAGCGCCAGCGGCCGCGGGGGCTCGGTGAAGGTGTGGGGGGGCGCGTGTCCCCACGCAACACCCACAGAAGTTACCGGGCATCTGCCACGGGGCAGGAACACGCAGGACACGGCGGCACATCCCCCTGTGTGCCGGGCTCTGGAGCAGCATCTGGACGGGCCTTGTGGCACCTCATCTCGGGAAATGTCAGAAAGTAGGTTGGAGGGAGCCCGGGGGACATGGAGTGCTATTTTCAAGCACTTTGTTCTGTCTAGTTGCAATGCCTTTAGTAGAAATGGCTGCAGATTTTCCACTGAACTTTCCCTCCTTCCTCTAAATAGGAAATTACCCCTTTTTACCAATGAAAATATCTTCCTTTAAAAATAGTTTCCTTCAAGAATGAATAGTTGATAAACATCAAGCTGTAAAGAAAGTCACAGAAAAAATATTCTGGAATCGAGATGTGCTTGTTGTCTCTGATTTGGCAGATAAAAAGCCTGCATAATTTACCTGGGCATGGGGGGGGAAAAAAGAGTGTCTCCAAAGCTGCAATGGGAAATCCTTAGCGGGTTAGGCTCAGCTTTGCCTCTCCAACGTGACTTTCAGCGTTGCCCTCCAGCAACAGCTCCCAGCCCATGGCAGGAAGGGCAGAGGGTCGTGTCTGGGGGGCAGCACCTCGCAGCTCCTGCCCCCCCCAGACATGGCCAGTCTGCGGCGATGGGGAGATCCCCCCGCGCCCCTCACAACCCCGTCGCAGGTCAGGATGCCGGAGCTGGTAACGGCGCTGCAGTTTAGCGCCGGGGCTTCAGCAGCCGCTGAGAGCAGCTCGAGCGTCTCGATGTCGCCCGAAGGCCACGGGGGAGCTCTCGCCTGGCCCAGGCTGTGCCCCCCATTACCCCGGAGGGTTTCAGAACTGAACTCCCAACAACTGGTGTCTTCATTGCTGCTGGTCGAGCAGCAGCTGGAGCCTTCGGTCACCTCACGCAGCCCCGTCGCTCGGGGCGCGTTGGGCGTTAGCGGCTGCCGCTGCGGCTGGTTTAACGACCCTTACCGGGCCACCGCATCTGGTAACGCCAGAGCTCCCCACGTCGAGGGCGTCCGAGCACCCAGCGAGGGCCGATGCCACATTTCCCAGGGGTGAAGCAAGGCTGGAACCGTCAGCCCGAGCCGAAGCGCAGCGCTGGGGGCTGTCGCTGCCAGGAGCCTGCGCAGCAGCAGGTCCCCTCGCCCCGGCCTCGCTGGCGGGGCTGCAGGACGGGACCAGCCCGGCTCCCTGCCCTGCTGCTGGGGCGGTTATTTCTCTTAACCAGACTCATTCTCACCCGCCACAGCAGCCGGTGGTGGAAACCTCCGCAGTGACCACGTACTCTGTGGCTCTGAGGAGTGATGGGTGAGGTTACAACTCGTGAAAGCAACGTCATTCACAATAACAGCCAAGGTAAGCGATAGCCCTCTTTAGCCTGAAGGACGCTCTACGCCCCCGTGCTCCGACACTCGCACACGTACGGGCTCACAGCGCTGGAAGGGGCTGCGATCAGCCCAACAGCCGTTTCTGACCCCGTCTGAAGGTGACGCCTACGGCCTGAGCTGCCCCTTCCCCTGGCAGCGTGTGGCTGAGCGGCTCTCTCCAGCTTTGGGCACCCACGGGGCTCTGCTCCATCACTGAGAGCTTTCCAGGAAACACGTTTTCCTGCCTGGCCACACCAGATTTCGAGCAGAGGACTCGCAGGAGCTGCAGGACAGCCCCCAGCGGGGCACTCGGGACCAGATCTTCAGCTTTAAAAATGCACTTCCAATACCTTACCCCTCAGCTGCGGACTCACCTAGAGAGGCTGTGAAAGCGGAGCTGGCAAAGAGCCCGAGGAGTTAGAGGAGGTTCCCGGGGGGCTGAGCACGAGCAGCTCCCCGGAGACCACGTGAGTGCAACCCACTTGGGAGGATATTCACCCCTGGCACAGGCGAGGACGCTTCCCTGCTCTGCTCGGCCACCCCGGCCCTCAGCAGAGCCCCCCATGCCCGACCGTGTGGGGTGCAGCGACGTGGGGCTCAGCCCCCTGCAGTTCCCCATGCTGGGCAGTCGTGGGCACGATCTCGACTGCTGAGCCTTCCTGCGGGCCTGCCCCCACCTCCAAAACACAGGGTTTTTCCCCGCACTCCTTATCTTTCACCACGCGACTACAGGACAAGGCACGCTGGGGGTTCAAAGCGCTGTTGGAAGACCTCGGTGAGATTTGCAGTTTCATCCCAATTTATCAGAACTCTCATTTCACTGAAGGACTGGATCAGCCTCTTGAAGTAGCTACAACCAAAGATTTAGTTGTGAGTCTACCAAGAGCTGGTCTCCTTCGCACAGACAGATCACTTGAGAATTTGCTTCCAGGGCAAAACCACACTGAAGTCTGTTTAACACCCATTGGAATCCCGAGACTTTGACCCAAGAAACCCCTTCAGCTCCTGACGATGCGTCTGAGAGGCAGACACGGCACTGCATGCGCACAGACCCCCCCCAGCGCCGTCACACCGAGACCCGGCCCTTATCCACAGAATCCTTTTTCCCCGTAAATGGTGAATTCAGGAGGAGTCTGGGGGCACAAACGGGCTTTGCAGGAACAGGTCGATAATTCTCCCTGCCGTGGCTGCCAGCAGCCCCCTCTCCATCACGTTAACGCAAACGCAGGAACAAACACCGACACAACTAGAGATCAGTTCTGCTTAGTGTTCGCCATCGCAGAGAATAAGAACCCAAACTTTGCAGCAAGGCCACGAAGCAAGTACGGCCTTGAACGTCAGGGACAGAAGGCAGCGGGGAGCTGAGAATCCGGCGGAAGGTCACGGAGGAAGAGGCAACGCCAGGA